TAATTAATTAATTTTAATTAATTTTAATTAATGTTAAATTAATCATTTAATAAGTTAATCATCATAATTAATTAATTTAAATCCTTAATTTTCTTTAATCTGCGTCAAAGTCAAAATTATCTTTGTTTATTGTAAATTTTACCCAAAGCTTTTGTAATTAAGCAATTCAGTCCATGGGTTTCAACTCTTTTCAAATTAGTCCTTCATTTTTATTTTAAACAAATCAGTCCCTCATGTTTCGAATTTAGTCAAATTAGTGCCCTTAATTTTTACTTGTGTTCATTGTGCATGCATGTCTTTGATTTTGTCCATTTTAGCCCAAAATTTTAACAATGTCACAATTTGGTCTACCCCTTTTTTAGGCTTGCCTATTAAGACTCAAACATAAACATGATGAATAAGTTGAATAAAAACCCCAAATGTTAAAGTATGCAATCGTGTTTAAACAGAGAATTTGTGAGGTGCACGTATGCCCTTCTTCACCCCTAACCGAACCCCTTCTTCACCCCTAACCGAACCCTTTCTTCACTCCTAACCGAACCCCTGAACCCCGATCTCTATGCAAACCCATTTTAGGTAACTTGTCCCACTTTATAATTTGGACGAGTGGTGACTCCTTTTTTCTTATATATTTCACACTTAATTTTTCATTGTTTTGAAAAAAATCTTAAGTGGTTGTCAACATCAGGCTTCCCCACATGGCCTTGACCCTTTCATGAATCTCATATTCCCATTGAAATTTTTTTTTTTTTTTTTAAAAAAAAAAAACAAACATGAAAATGTATTAGAAATAATTACAAAATTTTTTTAAAATAAATACAAAAAATTATTTTAGAATTATAGATGAAATTATAATAGATCTCATTTCTTTTGCATTTGTACAAAATCTATCCCTCAACAACAACAACTTGCCAAATTTATCAAGGACAAATTATGATAGTTTTGTTTGTTCAAGTACAGATTTTGTACAAATTAAAAGTTATTGGAAATTAAACCTAACATTTAAAGGATGCAGTCTACAAAAAAAAAAAAATTTCAATATATATCTTGATGTTCCTAGGGAATGAATCCCTATGCAATGTAAGCATTTGAAAGATTCTCCCTTAATTGTACTCCAATTTCGTGCCTAATATTCTATGAGATATTACCCCCATCATTAAGCAGTAATGGGATCTTGCAACCATCTATAGGCATTTTCATTGGTTTTGCCTTTCATCATTCCTTTCTAAGGGGGACAACTAGTTTGTGTCATTAGCATTACTAAAACTATAAATAGCAACATTAGCTGCAACCTCAAGAATGACATCAACTATAACATCCTCTTGTATTTGACACTAAGGATTAAACCAAGATGGGTGTCTATTAGGCTAGGATGCATTAACAGTTTCGATATACTTTAAATCACAAGAGCCTACTATACAAATGATAAAAAAAGAAAAGAAAAAAGAAACTCATTAGTAAACCAACTTAGATACAATCGATTAAAATTAACATGCCAAATAAAATAAATATAATTACAAAAATATAAACTAACAAATATCAATCAAATTACAATTAAAAAATAATACAAATAATATAATTATATTATTTAATAGATATATACTTATAGCATTTAATAAATTAAAATTAACATTTTGAATAAAATAAACATAATTATAGAAATACATACTAACAAATAACAACCAAATTACAATTAAAAAAAATGCAAGTAATATAATTATAGTATTTAATGAAATAAAATTAATATGTCAATTACCATAAATCTAATTATAGCAATACAAACTAGCAAATATCAACCAAATTACAATTAAAAAAGAGACAAAACAAGTAATATAATTTAATTATTGAAAAAATATATAATTTAGTTTTTAATAAACTAAAATTAATATGTCAAATAAAATAAATATAATTATAGTAATACAAATTAGCAAAAATATCAACCAAATTACATTTAAAAAAGAGACAATGCGATTAAAATTAACTTTCCAAATAAAATAAATATAATTATAGAAACACAAACTAGCAAATATTAACTAAATTACATTTAAAAAAGAGACAATACAAGTAATATAATTATATTATTTAGTAGATATATAAGTATAGTATTTAATAAATTAAAATTAACATTTCAAATAAAATAATGATAATTATAGCAACACAAAACATGCAAATAAAATGAACATAATTATAACAATACAAACAAGTAAATACTAACAAAATTATAATTAAGAAACACACAATATAAGCAATATAATTATAGAAGTATAAACAGGCAAATATAAGCTTCAATAACAATTATTTTTGTACAATAATTTTGCCTACTCATCACTATTATCGGTCTAAAAAACATAGGCATCCGTGTTTTTGTCATTAAATGTCTCAAAGTCTTCCCACTCCTCCTTATCCTCCTTTTACCCAATTTGCACCCCACCATCAGATTCTTCATGTTTTTCACTAAGCCTCCCATTATAATGCTACACAAGTTTCTAAGTTATCTCATAAATATTTATTGGTTGGGGATTAGCGAGCATTAATGATGCTCCTAGCTCTAATTTTAAAGGCAACAAACCGTCCCCTTCTTTGATGATTAATAGATGGGTATAGTGTGCAATACACTTGCATGGCTTGATTAGCAAAGATGAAAGGCTCATAGGAATGAAGGTATCCTCTTTGATTAATGTTAACCAGTCGGTCTTTTTGATCCACCCTAACCGTTTCAGCTAGAGGAATCTCGTACTAGTTACATTTGAATAAAACACCTACCTGTCAATAGATCAATCCAAAGTACCTAATTTAAATGACTTCTTGAAGCACTCAATAGAAATCATAGTCAAAGTTAGTTCCAATGGATCCCCAACAAAAATACCACAATTCATTAATTGTTCCCTTATTTTTACCATAGGTGACAATGTGAAATCAAAATCCATTGACAATATATCCATTATAGCATGAAATGGTATTTCTTGGACCACTTAATAAGCCTTTAATATGCTCATAGACATTAATGAGCTCATCATTTCTTACCTAATGCACACATATTGGGGAAAATAATGTTAGATGTCTTTAAATGGAAACAACATATGTTGAGAAATTGAATATTGTCATGCGAAACAATATAGTCACGGCTCATTCAAATGCCAAGGAACAAGATTTCTCTCTCATTTTGCTTGAATTCGTTAAGGATTCATATTCAAGTATTATTCTCTCTCAAATAAACTAGAAAATGTGATATAAGTTTTTCATTGTTAGTATATTAATTTCATAGACATTAAGATGATAAACTATATAAAATAGAGAGAGTTATTCACTTGACCCATCCCAACAATTCCTTGCAATTCATTAACACATTATACAAAGCGGCTTTGTGCTCCTCTACCGTTAAACAACATCTCACAATCTTGAAATTAACCAATAAGTTTTCCAACATATCTGAACATGGATAGTCCACTATTTGCATTGAATTCACTAACAATATTCTTAGGAGGGTGATCCCCACTATTGTCTACTCCATCAAAATAATGCAAGATAAAGTTTGTGATCTCAAACACTATAGAACTGTCACACATGGATGCTTCCATACGTGCTTTGTTTTTTACTATTAACTTAAGACAATGCATTCACTTGATTCACCAATAATTGCTATATAATTTCTCTACAAATAAAATATAGAAGTATATTCATAAGAATGCCAACTTTCAACATTTTCTATTCAAGGATGTCAACTTTCAATCTTTTTTGTTTAAGGATGCCAACTTTCAACATTCTGGTAAAAAAATTTGTTTGCCACATCAGCATTACCACCAAATTAATCCTTAAATAAAAAAAGTTAAAAGTTGACACCCTTAAATAGAAAATATTAAAAGTTGACATCCTTATTTAGAAATTGACAAAATTAACATCCTTAAATAGAAAAAGTACAAAGTTAACATCCTTATTTACCTATTTTCTCTGAATTTTCGTAGGTGAAATTAGAAACATTGACACCCTTATACATATTATTTTACATCAAACTTGGGTACAAAATCACAATTTGATGTAACCATTGGTATACCAAGGCAAATGGTGTAAATGCCCATTTGGGATTTTAGAGGAATGGAAACTTATCAATTTCTTAAAAAACATTGTCATATTTAAAGGGATCCACAATTTTTTGTGAATAATTTTTGTTTAGGAGTGCATTTTCTAAGGCTAAATCATCAATTATTTTTTGCAATTCTTCTTTTTCAAGTAAGAGGGAGGAGATAGTTTCTTGAGGATAAAATTCTTTGCACTCAATTTTTTAGATTATCTAAAGAGTTCATTAAATGCATCTAGCAATTCTTCTGACAAATTAAATTCATCATCAATCATAGGGTTGGGGTTTATCGCTTACGATTTATGTCCTTGACTATGGGACATAGGTGTGCCACCCCATTACAACTTGACTCATTCTCCGAGCTATTATCACTGAGGTAGTTACCAAAGCTTTTTAGTTCTTCATCTCCTTTGCCTTGAATCCTTTTCTTTGAAGGGAAATCAAACTTGAAGCGTCCAGGTTTCTTGCATTGGAAACAAATGCTCTCATCCTTCTTACTTGAGCCGTCTTTGTTCCTTCTCTTAAAGATACATCACTTACTGAAATTTCCTCTTTAAGAATTTCAAGAACTTCCTTGTGAGCATAGCAATGTTTTCCTTCGGAGCACTCGCTCACTATCCTCATTTGCTTAAAGTACAATTGCCTTCTTCTTTTTGCTTTCCTCCTTGAACTTGTTAGAAAAGTATTCAAAATTATGTGATTTCAATAAAATATCATATGAAAAACAAATAACCTAATTCATGTTAAAAAAATTAGGGTGTTTAATATTTTTCAATGGAAAATTTATTAATAAGATATAATTTTGAGGTATTTTTTTGCTTTATTTTTTTTTTAGGTATGAGTGATAAACATTTATATATATATATATATATGGATGAGTAAGAATTTGTTTATACAAAATTCTTACACACACACTTTCATAAAATTTCAATTATTTATCTTTATTTTAAAAGTTGATATTTATTTATTTTTTATCATATTTTTTCAAAAATTATTCTTCTTTATATAAAAAATCATGATAAATCTCAACTATTTATAGTGAAGATATAAATAATCAAAAGATTTTGTATAAATGATATATGCAGGAGTTGTGTAAAAGTGAACCCTATACATGTGTGTGTGTTTTACTAATCATTTTCTCGTAATTGTTTAGAGAATTTGTTTAAAAGTTTATTTTTTAATTAATATTTTAAAAACCCAACCGTTTAATTAAAAATTTTATTTATATAGATCATACGTATCAATTTTCATATTGTTAATCACTTTATTGATTATACAAATTTTTTATCAAAGAGTTATAAATATTAAATTAATATAAAAATTGACAAACACGATTTATATAAATAAAATTTTCTATCGAAAAGTTGATTTTTCCAAAATATAAATTACAAAATAAATTTTTAAACAAATTATTTAAAAGATTTTAAGAGAACTTATACAGAACACTTTTCCATAGGAGAGTAACTTAAATTAATAGATAATTTGGATTCATGCACTTCAGAAAGTGTAAACAATATGGTGGTAATTCGAGTATCTGTATGGGCAAGAAACAATAAACTAAGTGATATAATTAGTCATCAAATACTTTAAAAAACCACTAGAAGGGACAACGGCACAGGACCACTGAACCATTAGTGACATTGGAGGGAGAGGGGAGAGGGGAAGGTGGACATTTGGAAGGGCATTATGGTCAGGTGCTGCGATTTGGGCAAGCATTTACAAAGTGGGATGGGTCACCACAAACAAAACACCTTCTTCCAGAGATGGGTTCACCAGTTGCTAATACGAAAGTAGAATTGGCAGCATGTGCTCCATTGTAGTCACCTCTGCCTCGGCCACCTCTCGTGCTGGTATTAGATGCTGAACCATTTATGCCGGAACGAGGAACACTTCTTCCTCCAATGCCATTGTTGAGGCTATCCTTCCATCTGTATCACAGCAAATTTAATGTTATGGAAACTTGCTGAAAAAGAAGGTGGAAAATTTTATGATAAGGATGAAATAGACATATTCCCGGTTATATTATTATCAAACGAAAAGCTTTGGCATCTCCCTTTAGTTAAAACATCTTATCAATTCATGCCATATTTTTCATTCTTGCACACAAAATTGATGAAAATTAAATATATTTTCACAAAGTGTAGAAAATTGTAGTTTAACTTTTCAAGTCAAAAAAAATGAACAGAAGTGCGCTGTTCAAAATCAGAAAGAAAAAAGAACTCATAAGAGGAGTTCTATAGGATCCAGTCTGACATCTATCTAGACAAGTATCATTAACGTATCTCTTTACGTTTACGTACAAAAAGAAGTTGCATCCCTGGGACGGACATGAGTAGAACTTTCTTCCCCTGTTATTTTCTGTATTAGCAGTGCGTAACACACATTGTGTTCCACATGTGCTACATGGTAGTGAAGATTCTCCTGCATAAATGGAAACATATTCATGTAAGCAGAAATCAATTCTGCTTCCAATAGTATAAGAAAAACTGCTAAAGGGCTAGAATTTTGTGTGCAATTTCAACTTCAACTAGAATTTAGGGCTTGGTCCTAGCTTCGTCCCCCTAGAGGGAAGTCCTAGATCCTAGGTTTAGGCCTAGGTTGGGATATGGAGCTAGCATCCCTACTTCCAGTAAGAAAATAATCATAAATAAAAAAGTTCAACAGTCAATAAGGTCTCAGTTTTGGAAACATATCAGAAGCCAAGAAGAATGTCTAAGCTGCCTTCAGGGTTGTTTCTCTTTTCTTTTCTTCCCCACACA